ACTAATCTATTTATGGGAGTAAAGGATCGATGCTGGATCAATGCTAGTGCATATGACAACCCGACTCTTTAATTCATCATCATGTAAGATTTGTGAGCTCCCTGCAACTAACCCAATGACAGAACTGGCAGTCTGTACTTGTAATCCAAGCGCATGGGCAAGCAAAGACTTACGCCACTTTTCGCTGAAATCCATGACAACCGGCATCGGTCATGCAAAGAATTTCACAAAGTAAGGGTATCTGCTTGTCCAAATGCCTCCAAAAGCGCGAACACTCGTCTACAGGAGGATGTTCTAAAGCGTCTTGTTGCGGCATGGAGAGCACAAAACGCATCCAAAATGATTGCCGCGGTAGGCATGACACAAAAATAGTTGCATTCAAACAAGAGAACTTGGGCGTCGACAAATAGTCTAGCTTCTCCATCATTAGTGAAGGTCATATTTTGCCAACAATTTGTAGAAAGACTAAAATACAAGACCATCAAGTGTGCATTAATTGACAGGCCACTGTCGAACCATCTCTAGAGCAAGCATCAAGAAGGTTTCATGGTTTCCCTGAAAAGCATTTTTACTACACACTTCCTTGCCAGTTCGCACAAAGGCAAAGTCAGGACACCCGAAAAGACCTCCATTTTTCATCTTTTCTCAAGTATCGACCATTTTACAAAAATATTCCTTATTAATCTGTCATTTTCAGTCCAGCCTAAGAGACAATTATTGCCTGATTGTGTATGTAAGTATGAAGGCACATAAACGTACACAAACAAATGCACGAACATGCCTCATCCAAATCCGTATGTTTAAGGCATGACTGTATCAATTGAGGATAAACCAATGAATTTTTTGACTCGTTAACTTAAATATGGTTGTAAAAATGGAAACCTGTTCTGATGAGGTCCGTCTTATTACGAGAAAAAGCTAAGCATGCTTTCAGCGGAATCGAAGTAGATTGCCCCGAAAACAACGTCAGCTAGAATGTTCCAGCCGACAGCTGGTCAAGAGGAATCCGCCGTCGTCTCAAGGTGGGATCCACCTTAGAATCCCTGCATCGCACACACTTTCGTCCAAAATGGAACTGAGCTCAAAAACGCTAACCACTGAGCACATATGATCCTTTAAAATCCGGCAAAACGCATTCGATGTGGCGATCGAGATTAGACCTTGTGTGTGGCTGCACTTTTTTTCGTTGGACAGTCCTTTGCAGCTTGATCTTAGTGACTGGGAGACTTTACAGAGAAAGTCTTTTGTCGCCTACTCTGTTTTTGTTATGTTGTACTATTCCAGCACCGAATCGTTGGGCGAGAGATGCAAGAATAGTTGGTCTGTGTCGGAGAATGTGATACGAGGTGGGCCCTTCTAAGTTTCGCGACCAATATGATCAGAAGCTGATTTCACGAAAGAACGGCAAACGCAATGGAATAAACTGCATTAAGAAGACTTACACTCTGCTGGAGATCGTTGGTTTGGGTAACTAGTTCCTCAAGTTTGTTCTCACGATCCATAATTTGCTTAATGTTGCTGCGCATCACATTTGTGACATCGTGGACTTGCTGGTCCAGTTGTACCACTCTAGCTGACTTTGAAAGTTCAGGGAATCTTTCCTAATAAATAAGAAAGGTATAAATATTATATTTAAAAACAGAAGCATAAATAGAAATTTATCTACGACTAGTGGGAAGAAAGGAGAGAAAGAGAACTATGAGATGCTATTAATTAATGATTTTGAAAGAAAAAGTAATGAGAGTCTACAGCAGAGACTCAGATTATAGGAGACTAAATGTTCAAAAGTGGCTTGGTTTGAAGAGGCAAATGAGTCTGGAGATGAATGCAGTACAGAACAGTAGATC